TCTCTCTCTCTCTCTCTCTCTCTCTCTCTCTCTCATTCACTCACTCACATACACCTAAAATTACAGTTACAAATGTTAAAGAATTTGCCTAATATTCCAAGATTTGTTGAAGATTGTAATTGACAGCACTACATACTTTGTTTTTTTAACCAAAACTTTTCATTTGTTTAATTTATGTACCATGCATATCTAGAAGTATAAATATAAGCTACAAGTTGCTGGAGTGCACAATGAGTGCAAGGGGTTTGTTGTGTTTAATGTTTCTGTATAGCTAATAGCTATAAAAGATATTAGGTATTACCTGCATTGGTTCACATATGATGTTATATTTATATAAGATGTGAATCAACAATTCTGTATAGTAAAGGGCATACGATATGACCAAATAATGTAACGTTTATAGTGAGTAATGTGTTAAAATTACCAAGTTCGAACAAAAAATCACGTCGATTTATTGACAAAGTTTACAACATTTAAGCATTTCAGTGGAATTTAATAAATTGATTTTTGTGTATTAATTAAATTTACATTTTAGTCGTCAAACATCTTTATAATTTTTAACATTAAAAATTTTAAAGATATAAAACAGGTTTAAGTGTTTTATTTATTGGAAATAAAGAGAATAAAGAGAAAGTGATCATTAATGAAAAAAGTAAATAACTCAATAATTAGTAATTAACCGCAAAAATAATAAATTAATTTTTATATTAAATTCAGAACTCATAAACTTTTGAATAATGTCAACTAATTTTATTTATTCAAAAATCTTCATTTGTGAAATTGTTTTGTTGATTAAGCATGATTGTATTTGAAAGATGGCCCTCATTAATTTATTCTCATTTTCTAACTATAAATATATTCTTGAAAAAACATCTCAACGTTTGGCCGAACCGATCCCGACGGGAGTAATATAGTGGTAACCATAACAATAAGGAGATTTGTATTCCTGTCACAAACCATGCGAATGGCCGCAAACACCTGAGTTATGGACCGCAGGCTTATAACATTACAATTCTTGTGAATGTAAAGTCAGTTTTCAGCATTAAGCCCTATGCTTGCGATCAGAGATTTGTCCATAACTCCGGTGTTTGTGGCCATTTGCGTGTTCTGTGACAAGAATACAAGTATCCTCATTGTTATGGTCACCACTATATCACTCCCGTCGGGATCAGTTGGGCCGCAAAAATATATTTGCCTTTTTAGATATAAACGTTCAAAAATTACAGTTACAAACACAAGTTGTATTACATATAACGATTGAAATTATACTATTATTAATTTAAATTTACGAGAATGTGCTTATACCAATAATTTGGCGTAACGTGCAATTATTTGTGTTTACCACAAACCTCTATCGAATTCAAAATTCATGTGAAGTAAAATGTGCTTTCAAAATGATCAATCATAATCCACTTCTAATCTCAAAACCTTTTAAACTAAACATTTCAGCACATTTATGAACACGAGTTTGTTTATATATTTATTATTCAATGTTTATGATTTATTAATACACGAAAAACATTTTGATTTATTTTATATAGCACAAAATTTGCCAATTTACTATAAATATTATTACATACCTATATTTATTTGATATTTATTTGATATCTACATTTAAAAGATTTAAATTAAAACAATTAAAATAACACCAAATTAATGAATTATTTGAGAAGTTATAAACACATTACTGTATTGACGTAAAGACTAATGACTAGAATATTAACGTATAAAATAACTTAATATTTCTAAAATAAACATCACAACAATGTAAAAGTTAAAAATTTATTAAATTAATTTAATTCAAAATGTAAATATCTTCATTTTCTTGAATCTATTATAATTAATTAAAAACGTAACGATATATAGATATACTATAAATTAATTAAGAAATAGTCCAATATACATGTATGTGACACGTCTTCAATTTCAAGCCAATTAATATTAATTAATATTGAAATTAAAATATTTTCTCATTTCAGAGCATAATAAGTATTGAGAAATCTTTGATTTAAAATGCAAATCAAATCAATTAATGTGAAACAACAAGGTTACCTGTCATCCAAATTTATTGATTCTAAAATATACGACACTAAATTCATTATTTTATATAAATTTAACTTTTTGTAAACATATTAAATATTAGCGATTGGATTGAATTTGTAAAATAATTCAATTTTAGGTTTTAATTCAAAATATTTTTGAAAATGTACTGAAACTTACTTATTGGGCAAATGTAATAAACTTTAATTAAATTATAAAATAAATTATAAAACATATGGATTTAAGTGATGTACTCAAATTGAATATCATTTTATGTACAGACATTGATGTTATCAAGATTTTCATGTTAATAGATTATTAATATGACAATTAAAAGTGTAAATGATAATACATCTGCCAAAAAGTTGCTCAAATTTCGAGCAAACAAAACAAATGTAAAATCACCTTACACACATTCTAACGGCTATTTATCATCCATACCCCAAACAACTTCAAATATGATGGCAAATGGAAAAACTTCTGACGGGGTGAGTATATTCAAAATATAACGCCAATTATTTAATAACATTTGATCAATATGTTGATTAAGCTAATACATTACGATGATCTTCCCCCGTGGTTACAAGAAAACAAATACATTCGCAACAGCTATCGGCCACTAATGCCATCAATTAAATCATGTTTAAAATCAATATTTCGTTTGCACACCGAGACTGGCAATATATGGACGCACATGATCGGGGGCATTTTATTCGTTTGCCTTTTAATTCATGTTTTATATTGTTATAGCGATTGTTTGGTTCACAAATGGGACGAAAAGTTAGTTTACGTGTCATTTTTCGTGTCTGTTGTCACATGTTTGGCACTGTCTTCCAGTTATCACACAATGTTATGTCATTCAGAAAATGTGTACAATATATTCCTAAAGTAAGAATTTTATTATTGTAAACATGCATATACAAATTGTATAATACAATACCAAATTTATTAAATCATGTTACAATAGGTTAGATTTTGTTGGTATAACCGTTATAATCACAGGGCATTACATACCTTACCTGTGGTACGGTTACCATTGTATGCCAACTAAGCGAACGTTATATTTAACTATTACAATATGTCTTGCGGTGACCACAATTGGAGTCATCCTTTCGGACACAATGGCAAAGCCTAACTACCGTCTCCTCAGAACTGTAGTGTTCGCCACATTTTCAGCGTTTGGTATTTTACCCATCATTCACTTCCTAAGCCTCTATGGTCTCGATTACATCTATAGTCACCCCTATCTCTCAACAGCACTAATGTGTCTCATCCTTATGTCTTTCCTCCATATCGTCGGTGCATTTCTCTACTGCTCACAAATTCCCGAAAGATTTTTCCCTGGAAAATGTGATTATTGGGTAAATATATAACATAATGTTTTACTTATAATTAGGTATAATTTTAATATAATTACATAACATTACATTATTTTATATGTATATTATTTTAAACATATAGTTTCATTCGCATCAATTGTTTCATACAATAGTGGTTATAGGAGTGATTGTACACTACATTGGATTCACAAATTTAGCCCTATATGTGCGCCAATGGCCCGACAAATTTTGCAATCAAATAAATATACAATATCCTTTGTTATGAAAGCAACTTATATATAATTTATCTATTATCTAGATTTATTATTTAACAAAGGAGGATCGGCAGATCTGTAATGGGGGTTTATAAAATCTGTAATGGGGACATAGGTTACCTGAATGTTATCAATTTTTTTACAAATTAAAAGCGATTTGTTGTATGACATTAAACTACGTC